TCCTCATCATCAAGCAGACTTGTGTGGGGGCTTTCATGATTTCCCACTGATATAATGCTGGTATCAGAGGTGTGGGGAATGACAATATTTGAATTACCATTTACACAATCTGATAAGTCCACACACTCTCCCCGATTTTGCCCCGGCCTCTGCAGCAATTGTAGTACTAGTTTCTTCTACTTCATCTTCCGAGTCCTTAGATGTATCCTCCTCAGAATCACTGGAAATACTAGAGGGGGTGAATAAGTTAGTAGCTTCAAGAGGTAAGCTTCTCAGCTCTCTAACCTTGGACCGTTCAGCCCCTTGAACCAAACTAGTATCTACAACTGTAAACTTCAATAGATCTCGATTGCAACCGGAATTTTTGTGGCTTGAGATAATTATTACGATTATTTGTCATAAAATCAGGATCTTGTTTTATTACTGGGTCCCACTTATTTTCTTCATTCTCTCTGCTGCCTTTAGCCACTTCAATTTTCAAGCTCAAGAAGCACTGGTTCTGATGCAACTTTTTAAAATGTCACTAACAGAATCAAAATAGTGGTCACCTTTCACTAGTCTCCTCCTTGAAAACTTCTTAACACCAGGTATAAGGAACACCAGAGAATTCTTTGAACCAGAAAAAACCTGATCCCTTGGCTGTTCAGAGTGCCAACCTCTGGCTAAAAGGCGAGGCCAAACAGCTTCCCAGAAAAGATCGCTGGATCTAGTTTTGCTCAACCTAAAATCTCCTGTTAGAAACTTGATAATATCTGCTGATGTAAGAGTAGAACATGCTCTGCCAACTGGTATTTCAGGACGAAAAAGAAACTACATGATTGGCTTTTATTGGCTCCATGGCATTTCCAGTGAGGTCTTGCTTTCCCTCTTAATATATCTTCTAGCATACCAATGCCAACTGTATTCTTTATAGTGAATACGTAATCCTCAAAGGAAACTTTCCCCTCACCAAACGTCTTAGAAACCTGCAATAATCAGAATTCATAAAACATCATGATGAAATATTTTTGTCTCTGAAAAATATAGACCAAATATACCTGCAAAATTAGGTGCATGCAATAATTCAGCAGTAAACTGAGAATTTCAACAAAAATGGACATTGATAACAGAAACCAGGATCTAGGAGTTCAAACGAAATCAATAGATGTTCTTGAAAAGTAGCTAATAATAACTGCAATATTCTTAAAGATACACTGCAAAATGCCTAAGATTTTAGACAGAGGTTGAAGAAAGAAATCTGTTATGCCTAGTTGAAATGCAACCCCATTTTCAATCCATTCTATGTGTAGTTGAAATAGACCAAATAAGAGGGTACTCCTTTTATTCTCCTTTCACTTGTCCATGTTGAAAAACAGATGACGCCCTAGGATACACTGCAAAAATACTCTGGATAATTCATTTGAGATATCAAGGAGATGCATTCCTAAGAACATGGAAGTTGCCTATGCCATTAATTGTAATCCTTGTATAACATATAATTCTCCTATGTTTACAAAACTGAGCAGAGTTTGAACAATATATCAGCAAAGAGTAATATACCCTGGACATAGAGATATAACCTAAAATATCCAGATAGAAAAGACTGACACTCTATAGACCTGCTTAAAAAATGCTGGAAGCAGTCCTAAGCAGAGAGACAAAAGGCAAACTGCCTGTTTAGAGAGCAGACAACAAAAGCACCAAAAGACACCATTTTTATTGATGCAACCTAGTTCACGGGAAGTAAGAATCCTACGTGGCATGCCTAACTGAAGCAGAGAAGATGAAGAACCAAAATATGCCTTGATAAATCCAAAACTAACAACAAATTTATGTTTACTTTATCATCCTATTGATACATCAACATTTCTGAAGGTGCTAGTCAACAACCAAAATCATCCTCTTCCATTATCAAAAAAAAAAGAAAAAAAAAAGAATCTAGCTCTTCCACTTTATCCTCTAAAGATGGGCCTTTAGTTAGGTGTCCCTGTCAAAACACAGGTCTTCAAAGAGAAACACTGCTCTGTTTCAATCCATCAACAGACGACTCAAACATGGCCCTAGTTAAACCTACATTCTTTGCTAATCTGCTTCGACTTCCCCATCTCAAACAGTAGATAGCATCTAAGTTATTTTTTTGGTTTACAATATTACACTCCACAAAATCATCATTGATTCCCATGCTCAAGTATGCTGCTCTCCAAAGTGGTCTGACTTCAACCACCCTGAAACGTTACACAGTCAACACTATATGTATCTATGCAGTTTGCTTGAAGCAAATTTTACAAAATAACATTTGAAAATAAAATTAGAAATCATGTGCAAATTCCAAAAATAAGGTTCCTATGGACATAATAATGTAGTGTTCCCAGACTCTGTTAAGGGAGTAAGGGAGAAATAAAAAGATTAGGAAGCGTCAATGTGTACACTTTACAGCACTCAATGATATATAAGGGACTAATTAACAAAATAAATATATGTCTAACTATTTAGAAAGATCAAAAGAGTGGGGCATTGTGCATAAAAAAGTCAGAAGAATACCTCAAGCAACATATCTTGACATCCTTTTGAAAGATGAGAAAATAATCGTGATAATAATTCCTGTTGCCTCCATCCGGTGAATAGCTTTTGTCCATGAATGCACCGTCTGCTTCTTAACTTTCGGCATTCTGACCATCTACGGTATTCATCAGACCCGTAAAATTTTCCATAATAGAAAGACAATATCTCTCCCATCTCTTTACTCTCAACAAAATTTTTCACAAGGGTAAGATTTTTTCCAAAGATGTATAGCCCAAGAAGAAAAACTGTCAAGTTCGATATCTTTACATACTTCACTTAAAGAGCCTGGAAGAGGACAGGGACCTCTATCCACTTGATTCAGCTTAGATTTTGGCTCGTGTGGAACGAGTAAATCAACATCCATCTTACTTCTGGTTGTAAGTTGAATCTTTGAATTACCCTCTCATGTCTTTCCTATCACCCAACACAGAATATAGACTTTCAACTTTGTATTCTGCACAACCATGGCTTGACGTAATGCGGCTCTCTTCACTGTTTTCAAATTCAAATGCCACCATTTATGCTTTCAACTCCAGTCTTTGTCCAGAAAAAGGGGATAGGCAATCCCAATGGAAAAGGGTTTGGCACATTCATTACAACTTTTGAATCAATTGGTTCCTTTACAACCTGTAAACTATGACATTCTCCAACAAGAGGTGGAATTTTCTGCTTGGTATTGACCTCCAACACGAGGATCACCTGTGGATCTCCAAAAATTTGATCCAAAAAGGAACATGAAGCAAGTAATTGTTCAGCAGATTCATCTTCCACGCCCTCCATGTCATTATCCAAAAGAGTAGCTTCCATCTACTCAAGAATTGAGCAAAAATAATTAAACTGAAAAAAAACTAAAATGGACATAAGACTGTATAAAACCAACCCTGGAGCCCTAATTTACTTCAAGAGGGTCCCGAATTCAAACAGAGGGACCTCCTTATATAGATAGAAAAACTATGATTATGTATGACAACTTTGTAATATTTTGAGATAGAAATACATTGCAGCATTAATTTTCTACTGTTAGACCTACATGTAACTGTTAAAGTCAATTTCTTCCAAGTTAAATTCCAAATATAATTTCTCTAAAGTATTTATTTTAATTCAAGAAAAAAAATTGAACACCAATAAATAGAGGAATTCTTTCCGCACGAAAATTTGTAATTACTAGCATTCGATGTGGGGGGAAATCCTACCGTTGTTTCCTATGCTTAAGATTGAGGTAGGACCCTTGAGAATTCATAACGTGTTGAAAAACTTTATGGATGCAATTAACCAAGACAAACATTTATTGAGAAAAGAAACTTTTGCAGTCTAAATTCATCAGAAAAAGATCATAAATTCAATAATCATCTAATGCAAATACAACCAAAAGCTATACAATTATTAAACCTAGCGTCTTTTTTGGCCGTTAATTATTAAACCTAGCTTAGTGAATAAAATTTCCAACATATTTCTCCAATCTGAACAAATAGGAGCACTTAATCCAAGGATGAATTAGCTCATGACTACAATTAAAACAGATAACATTTATATTTCTAGTCATCTAAATTACCAAAAGCAAGAACCAGATGCAGGTGGATACCGACATTCAAATGCCAAGGCACATTTTTCGCAAGCCGATTGAACAGACAAAAGAACAATATGATACCGAAATCTAAGATACCCCAATAACACATAGATGTCAATATATCAATATCAAACAATCTCAATGAAACGTGCAGTATTCAGTCAAATAAATCAATCTAGAAAACATGTCCACTTTTCAGAGAAAATTAACAATGAAACTTCATTTGATTAAACATGTAACAAATTAAAAAACTATAGAAACAGTAAGAAAACTACAGTAACTAATAAACAGTTGATAAGAAATGTAAATAAGCATGCAAAATATCGGGTTTTTTTTTAAGAAAAACATATGGCTAACCTCCATAGAAGAACTCGAACGTTAAAACCCACGTGCCAAAGCCAACCTGGACAAATGGGTTTTCATTGTTATACATCTCTATAAACCTCGATTGTCAACTTTTTGTTTTTCCTTTTTTTTTTCTCTTCACTCTTTTCTTGTTGCCATAAATAAAAGCAGAGCAAAAAAAAAAAAAAAAACCATAAAAACAAATAAAGAGAGAAAAGAGAAAGCAAGACATTGTGAAGAAGATTTTAGTTACCTTGAAGGAGAGAGCGTAGCTTTCATTAATACAAAATAGTTGAATTCTTGAGGACTTAGCAGAGAGAGAGAGAGAGAGTAAAACAATAAGAAAAAAGGAAGCACAGAAATTCTTTTTAGTTTTGCTGTTAATAATGAAAAAAAAAGAAAGAGACAGAAGATTAACGCTTTGTGTTCGGTTTGATTTATGAGAGTTGAGACCACACGCGTTCGTAGGTGGGTTTGGATGCATGGAGGAAATGACGAAAAAGGACACATCTATGTTCCTTTAGGTTGGTTTTCGACAATCCTATTTTAGGAAAATTAGGGCAGTGTTTTTGGATATCTTTTTCAAACAGTACACATTCTTATTTTGCTTTCAGGCGAAGTTTTGCAGTGAGAAACATTGACAAATATAAGAAACAAAAAAAAAAAAAAGAAACCTTTGAACATTTTTATTTCATGCTGAAGCCTTGCATAATAATCAAAATTAATAAGATCAATTAGACCTTTTCTCAATAGTGGAAGAAAAAAGGTTATTAAGGGGAAATAGAAAACTTGTATATATCTATATATATATATATATATATATTTAATAAGATAAACAAGTATCCGTCTATTCAAACAATAAGACTAGTCAGTCATGCCCACACGCACTAACTTACCAATTGAATATTTTTTATAATAAAAATATAATCTGCAATGTTTCACTATAAATCGTTGAAAATGAAAAGAAAAAATTCATCTAATATGTTTTCTCTCTATCAATTTAAGTAAATTTAATTACGTTAAATTTGTTCATTTCATAAAAATTATTTTTGTAGAATTTTGCATCTAATTCAAATTTAAAATAATTAATAGAGGAACATAACTTTATGTCAAATTTAATGAATTTATAAAAATTATTTTTCATTTTTTGACATATTTAAACTCAAAATAATTAAAAAATAACTTAAAAAATGGCATGTGGTTTTTATTTACTATAGTTAATAAAAAAAAAAAAAGAATGGCTTAACTTAAATATTCGACCTAACAAACATAGGTACTGAGATTTTGAGTTTCTACTTTAATTTCTTGGTATGTGACGTATACTCTTGTTGGGGTGGATCATTGAAACCAAACCCATAAGGAAAAGAAAACAATTAAGTCATATTTTTTTAGAAAGGAGATCAAGGTTTCAAAGAAGTTAGGAAAAAAAATTTATAATTCTGGTGTGACAAGCGATAAAAAATATAAAACCTATATATAAAATTTTTATTTAGATATTATAGTATTGACATTTCCGTTTGACTTTTGTAATACAAAAAATTATAAGCTTTAATATTAATTAAAACAATTTGGTGTTTATTTGATAAATTAATTTGAAGAAACTTTGAAGATAAATACGAATCTTCTTTGAAATCTGGAGATTAAGAAAATTAGTTCATAAAAGTATATAATTATTAAATGCTGATAATACATTAGATTTTGTTTTTTTATTTGATCCTCCTCAGAAGAACTGTCTCAAGGGCTGTGATGGACCAACTAAGAGACAAAAATTTTTCCCCAAGGAGACCCGTCTCACTTTTCATGAAAAGCCCACCATCAATCACTTGCGTCCATCAAAAAAGTAGTTCGGACTTAGGAATGTCATTTAATCAGACGGAACTGATCATAGCAGATAAGCCGTGGGCGCTAAAGAGTGTACGGCCCTGATCGTGTTGTATTACAAGTAAACGTCATCTTGTTTGTTGACACTTATGATGGCTGCGATGCAATAGCCCATTGTTCCTATCTCAATCTATCTCCCAATCCCATGGTTTCCAGGCAATGGGCCACAGCCCTGCAGCCATAAACTAAACAATCGGCTGTTATGTACTTTGGTACATTTGGACGTATGAGAGGTTAATTTTGACGAGATTAAAAGTAAATTAATTATAATAAAAATAAATATTATAATAGTAAAGTTAAAATTAATAATAATATATATGAAAGTAATGAGTTATCATGAAGATAATGTTTAGACATTATCCTTAAATTCGTCCATTATTTTTCTAAAATATATATTGGGTGTCAATTGCACAAAATTTGAGATTAATCGAACCGAAATTCAAGTTCAGTAGCATCCAAACATGGCCTTAGAATTAAATCCCTGCTGCCATCGCCCTCAAAAGGTTGCAAAACGATAAAATTTTACATAGATAATATTTTGACTTTGGCATGAGATTAAATAATTTAAACTTTTAATTTCATTTAATAATATATTTACTTTTGTTATTAGCTTTTTTTAGCAAAAGGTAATTGACCGAAAAAAAAAAAAAAACATGTTCATCCTAAAATTAAATTTTTTGAAAATTTAATGGTTTATTTCGAACTTTTTTTAAAATTGCACAAATTTTCAAATTCCACCGGTTACATGCTTTAAATTAGTTTCATCCTAGAATTATCCTGCTCTCGTGCAAAAAAAACAAAAAAAATCACATTTGGATTGACATTGATTTGGGGCCATTATGGCTTCCTTAACTATAGCTACACGGGTCAACACCTGATTATTATTCACCTATATAGATTTGGGACCATATATACTTTTTTATAAAGGTCTGTTATTCCTTTAAAAATTGCCAATACAATAAAGAAAAAAAAAACAAAAAAAAAAAAACCAAGGAAACATAAATAAAAGGGATTGCCACGGGGCGGCTTACCACAAGGTCTTTTTTTTTTAAATCCGCAAAAGAACTGGATAGATTAAAAGGATAATTAAAGTAAAATAGCCCAACATAAACAGCATGGGCTCTTCATACAATTTCAATCTAATCCCAAACCCAATTTTCATTACCTATCTTTGGACCAAACAGAGGATAAGTGAATCCAAATCAAGAAGGCCCATTTAACTACACATTAAAGGCCCAAGATTCTCACCACTTGGTTTTGCAACGGCATATGAATATCCTCCCCCCCCCCCTTTTTTTTTTTTCTAATAATTCTTGTCTATAAATTCTCTGAGAAGGGTATAGTTACTAGATTCTTAGATTTCATAAAGAAAAGTGATTTCAATGAAAAAGTAATATTGAAGGAAAATGAATGATTTTTGAGATTTTTTAATTCTAAAAAATGTAAATTTTTTTATTTAGTTAAAATAAATGTGAAATTACTTAATAAAATTTTTTATTATATTATCATCAATAATATGTAAAGAAATAACTTATTTATTTAACATTTTATATGATTTTTTAATTATACATTATTATATTTTTAGTTAAATATTTTCAAAATATTTGTATATATATTTTATTAAGTTGCATGGAATCTAATTATTATCTTAACATTGATTGTTTCTATAAAGAGAAAATACACATGATCTTAAAATAAATTTTTTATGTAATAATATTAAATAAATATATTGTAGATTTTATACATAATAACATTAAGTAAAGATATTTTCCATTTTATTTGGATTTTGTTATGAGTATCCATTAGCGTTGATGTTAGATGATAACCGTAAATGTTACGAAGAGAACCATTTTTATAGATGACATTTTGAAACAAGAAAGCGGAGTAAATATTAAAAAAGTTTTTTTTTTTTTTTGCAACAAACCATCATTTTTCCCCAAAAAGTATTCTTTTTATTTGTTACGGAAAAATAATTTTTTTAATCTAAAATTTTTAATAATATATTTTTAATAAAAATCGCCTTTTTAAGTTAAAAAACTTTGTTTTTGTTGAAACTACAAAATTCTAAAAAAATAATTTTTTTCTTAATATATTTTAAAAAGAGTTCATATTTTTGAGATTAAAAACGTAAATTTTGTTATATTTTCAATAAATACCTTATTTAAAAAGAAAAACAGGGTAGTTGTTTAAACTATAAATAAAAAAATATAATATAAAATTTTCATAATATATTTTTAATAAAGATTACATTTTTAATTTTAAAAAATCAGTCTTTATTGAAAATATAACAAAAAACACATTTTTAATAAAAAATGCGATGACTATTTAAAATATATTTGAAAAAAGATTTTTATAATATCTTATAAAAATTACTATGTTTTTAAGATAAATAAATTTATATATTTTGAAAATATAATAAAATGAGGGCAAATGAAAATTTTTTTTCATTTTCTCTCTAAAATCTAAAAAAAGCCTAGAAAAAAGAGAGTTTTTTATTCTTCTATTTTTTACATTGTTGAAAATGTAATATTTTTTATGTAGAAAATTTTTTTTCAATCAAACTAAAAATCAAATAATGAAAAATTAGATTAAAAAAAAAAAATTCATGAACCAAACGCCTAATAAATCTTCGAAAGTACTTCAAATATAAAACTGTCAAATTCTTATAATATTCTTAGTTATGGCTACTATGGAAGTCTGCTTCTTTTGTTTCAATTTTCACACCTGAAAGTAAGAAATTAAAGGTGGGTTGAAAAACTATGAGTATATATTCTTTTGTGTTAATATCTTAAAAATTAAAACCAAAACAAATATGATGAGTTTTCAAAAAGGAAAAAAAATTCAAAGGTATAAAAGCCTCTAAACTATAATTAAAAAATTATCTAAATTTTTATTTTTTATTGTAATTAATCAATTCCTTCAATATTGATTTACATATCTAATTAAATCTTTATTTAGATGAAAAATTTAATACCGTTAATTTTTTTAACCAAGATAAAATTTTACGTGATATTAATAAAATAAGTGAAAGTTTGCTACATAACATAATTAATGTATGTAAAAATTAAATAAAATAAACTAATTTTTCCTATTTTCTCTCCTCTCTCTTTTAAAAATTTAATTAACTATAATTTAAAAATTAATTGATTCAATTTTATCATGTATCTAAATTTTATTCAATTAAGAATTTAATTGAATAAAAATAAAAGGTTAAAAATTTATAAATGATAATAAAATATTAAAAATTTAACTGACTATTGAATTAAAATTTAAGATCATTTTTTATCCTTCAACCAAAAAATAAAAAGAAACATCATCGGATTGAGATAGATATAGAGACAAACTAGAGTTAGTAATGAGACAATGTTAGTGTTTAGTTTTGAGCTGCAGTACAAGGGTTTTGTAGGAGAGAACAATTCTAGCCTCCAGGCTTTTGTTTTCCGCTTTCATTCCTTTTCCTTGTCATTCTCGTTAGCCGCTACAAGGAAAAACTCGATATATTTACTCGGTAGTATCCCATAGTCATCATTGTGAAAAGATTCTTCTTAGATGTTAAAGTCCTAGCAATTTTTTTCTCTTCATCTTTTTTATGTATGGAGTTAGAGCAAGTGAGATCGGATAGGACCATAGTGTATTAGCTAGATTAGTGTGGTTAGATGTTAATGGATAATTCC